GAAGAGATAGACAAGTATTTTGGTTATATCGATATAAATTAGAATTCTTATAAATTTTATTATTAGTATTAAAATCAAAATTATAATTGTTATTCATTTTTTATTATTTTATTTTCTTAATACTGCTTTTTTAGATGAAGCATAACTAATTTAAAACATTTACCTTTTTAGTAGTTTTCTAGATTTTAGATAATCAATCATTACACATTTCTAAAAATGTCAAAAACCAATTAATCTCTTATCTATTGACACCCTAAAATGGTAAATTAGAAAAAAAAACTAATTATTTTTGTTTCTAATGCAACAATATTAAAATTGGATTTTGAATTCACTTCTATTTTAATAAAATCTGTACATCTAATTTTTTAAAAAAAATAATATATGCTTGAATTTTTATATAAAATTTTTTTAAAATGTTTCAAATATACTATTTCCACATTTGTTATTAATTGAGATGGATCTAAATTGGAATATTTTATTGAATGCTTATATAAAATCGTGTCTAATTAAAGACAAATCTTATAAATTTTTATCAAACTTGTTTTCTTTCTAAAGACAGAAAACAAGAATTTCATTAATAAATCAAGCCTCTATCAAAAATAAAAAAGATTACGCTTTAAAACAAGTCTAAAACATCAAGTCAAAAGAATCATTTACAATTATAGTGATAAATAATAACAAATCAAATAATATTGCGAAAGTTTCGCAAATGAAATTTTTATTGATATTATTATAGTCATGAATAATAAATTAAATTTGTAATATCTTATTGAAAATAACTTGCACCCAACACTTTTATTCTGTATACACAAATATAACCTTTTTTTTGTATTTATTCACATCAGAATTTCCATTAATACTTTGAATGTTCTCTATTTTTTTATATGATAAAAAATAAAAAATAACAAATATAAATCAAAATTTCTACAAATTGTAAGAAAATAATATAAAAAATTATTTTTAAAGTGTTTGATTGTTAAATTTTCAGTATTTACACAGATTTTTCGATTTTTATGAAACTTGTTATATTTGTTTTTTTAATTAAACACTTTTCTTCATCTAAATGTGCATATGATAAAACGATATAGATATAGTATTTATTGAATTGCTCTTTATAAAATCAATCAGTCCAACGATTTATCAAATACAAATTAAATACGTTTTTCAATTTTTCGATTTTTTTTATTATGATCCAAATATGATACGTATAAAATAACATTAAAAACCAAACCAATCAATATATTTTCAATAACATTCTATACGTTGACAATCAAGGTGGCATATGTAGATATATAAGAAAAAAATATAACAAAAATCATATATGATATTATAATAGCAATTTTGCAATATAAAAATATTCTTTTTTAACTATAATTGCACAGAAAAATATAAAATTATTTTCAGATTTAAATTTTTTGATTTTAAAGGTGTTTTCTATATTTATTCTGTATATTTTTTCTCGTTTTCAAGTTTGTTATGTACAGATTTAGGAAAACTGTTTAATGATAAATTTTTTTTATTAGCACTTATTATTATGATTGTAAATTCTTATAGATACATTCGCGTACTAAAATATATAATTTTCTATGAAAGATAACCAAAAACATGTTTTTTCTCATGTAAACGTATCAAATCATGCGTATTTATGTTAAAGATGTATTTTTTAAAATGTTTAGTTTTTATTTGCTTAGAATAATTTTTTTTCGGATTTTAGAAATTTTTGCCATTAATTATTGTAGATATTATAAATACAAAGAAAAGATAAATGATGATATGAAATTAAAACAATTAATCAAATGTAGTTTAGTAATATATGTTCAAATTATGTTCAAATAACGCTTATTTTCATTTTTATACACATATAAATTTTGGTTCAGCACTCTTTAGAGTACATAAGACTATATAAAATTGTAAATTTTTTTAAAATATATTATGCTTATTTTTATTTAACAAAAAACTTACTAATATGTTTCATAACGATTTATAAGCGATCGAATATATATTAAAAATTGATCTAATGCCTAAACTGTAAATTATAACGTTATTTACATGGAATACAATATGTATATGTTAGAAAGTATAATTAAGGAAAATAGTTTACAGAAATTTTATTTTTGTTAATAGATAAAATTTCCTTTATTACACATTAATTTTATTTGACGTAAGTAGTTTCAAGTGTATGTTTTTCACAAATCAAGGTCTAGCAATTTTAGAAGCTACATTCCCAAGATATTAACTATTGTGAAAAGTTCTATTTTCACAGAAACACTGTTCTTATAAGCATTGGGATTTTTTTTTGAAAAAGGAATAATGAAATCTCTTTGTACTATATAAAAACACGTTGTTGTATCCACAAGATGTGCAGAAGAGTATAGGACGAGAATACAATGTCTTTGCTGCTTATGAACTACTTAATTAATTTAGGAAAACAATACTATTGCGTTTAAAAAAAACTTTACCTCACTTTGTTATTACCACCTTTTTTAAGCCTATATTGAAGAATTCTCATTGAATATGGCGAAGAGATTAAACAAAACGCATTATTAGTATTTAAATCTGGTCAAAAATACATATAAAAGGGTCTTTAAAAATTTATGTTTTATAAAAATAGATGTAATGTGTTTAAATAATTATTTTTCTGGATAATTCATTTTCACGGCTTTTTTCTTGATTCTTAATCATTCTCAATGTAGTTCTATTCCTTTTGTAATAACTTTTCTATTTTTTAATGTTAGAATCCAATTCAGAAATCACAATTACCTATACTTTTCTCAAAAAAAAATAGAATTCTGTATTTAAACTGATAAAGATGCTCAACCAATCATTATATTTCTTTTATTGTATTAGTATAATCAAAATCTTATTTCTATTAAAAGATTCAATAAAATATCACAGTATCAATCAAATTTAATATTATAAGTTGGTTAATTTTTTAAAAAAACTTTCAACTTTAGCAAATATTAAAACCAATAGAACGAAATTTGTGGTCAAAAAATGTTCAAATGATAGAAAAATGTTTTTTTATAGTAATGAGATAGAATATATACTAAATCTAATTATGAATGTGAAGTTTTTTATAATTTTTTTTAAATAATTGGTGTTTAAATACACTTTCTGCAAAAATAATATTTTATGTTTTTTTAACAATTTAATATCAGTTCACAGTTGAAAGTCGTGTTTTGTGCTAAAACTGAGATATAGAAACATTATTTGTATATGTAACCAAATATTCCCATTGATTGCTCATAACATATATAAATTTTTATAAAATAGGTTAGAATTTTTTTTGGTAAAACATGCTATCTTAAATCATTAAAGTTGACGCATTAAGTAACCGTATCGGATATAAAGAAAAATTAGGACCACATTTATTCCATATTTCTAATAAAAAAAAATTATTATTAGTGATTATTAATTTAGGATTTTATTAGAAACAACTTTTGGAAATTTTTAAAGACATTTTTCTTTAATATTTTGTTGATTTCTTTATCTTTTGTTCAAAAAATCGATGTTAAGATTATATTATTTATCCGTAGTTTAATGGATGCTATTTAATTTTTTTACAGAAAATTAATAAAAAATTCATTTTAAGCACACTTCTATACCAAACTAGAATACCCCAACTTTAAAAAAAACATACTCAAGTCTAATAATAAGAAAATGTAGTGAAATTATTTTTTTATTTTATTTTTTGTTTGTTGAAATATCAATAAAAAAAATGATTGATATTACCACTTGATAAATTTGATTTGTGAAGCAAACCAAAAACAACATATTTTTTTAAAAAGAGTAAATGTGCAAATTAAAATATAAAATATAAATTTAGGATTGTTTTTTTATATAAAATCAAAACCAATATTATATTATTGATAGCATATCAATTTATTAAGTATCATCCAACATATATAATTCATAATATAAAATAAAACATCAATAAGAACATCATAAACAGCTTTCATGTTTGAAATTCATCATTTTTATTTTTATTTTTGTTTAATTATAATTATTAAGACAGTTTTTTTTATTACTTTATCAAAAGTATACTCTGATTAATTATGTGCCTAATTTCTAAGAATAAATAAATGCACCTATTTTTAAAGTTTTTTTTGGAATTGATGTGAGGTATAACTGGTAATTTTTATATTTATGATAGAATTATTTTAAAAATTTTATATTTACAATTTAATAGTAAGATAATCACTATTTACTCTATAAATATTTTCCTATGTATATGTTTTAGCTTTATCTGAAAAAAATATTTCTTCTCAAAAATTTATGTGTAAAAAAGAAATTTACTCTCGCCAAAATTCAAAACTTTGCGTTAAAATAACTATATAATATATTTTTGAAGAATCTTATAATCTTAATGAAACTTTATGTTACGCAAGCAAAGTTAGCAATTTGAAAAATCAAAAAAAGAAAAGATATAATAATTACAAATTATAAAAAGAAAAATAAACGTCTTTTGTATTTTTTGAAGGCCTAGGTTAATGAAATTGGACTTTTGTTTTGATTTTAATGTAAATTATCGATTTTTCAAAAATGCTGAAATATAAAATCGATAGAGATTGCAATTTATATCCAACTAACTAACAAAATATGAAAGTTGAAAAATATTGCTATAAATTAAAAAACATAATATTTATTCAAATTTTTTCCAAAGAAATATAGTAGATAAAAAAAAAAGAAAAGCTTTTTTTCGTTTATTATATAAAATTTTACAATTTATTTTGTTTTGAAATTTCTTTATTACAAAAACCATTAGTTTTAAAACATTAATAGAAAAATGATTCGGATCATAATTAATTGTAGTTTTATTATGAATAATATTACTATATTATAGTCGATCAGACTGATAAATTAATTGAATTAATATTTAAAACACAAAATAAAAAAAAGTAAAAACTATTATCCTAATTTTCATACCTAAATAATTAAACTGTGATTATTAATAAAAAATATATTTTATTATTATTCATGCACCCTAATAAAGAAAAAAATGTTTCCTCCGAGGTTCGAACTCGGTACCTTCAGATCTTCAGTCTGACGCTCTTCCAAATGAGCTAAGGAAACTTGAAACTTTGAATAAATATTTATAAATACTTTATAATTATGAATAACAAAAGCAAAAAGAATATGGCAATAAAAATGAAAATAGTGAAATGTACTATTAGCACTAATGAATAACAAAACAAAGATAATAGTATGTAAAGCCACATAAAAAAAAACCAACGCATAGAATAAAATCAAATATGTCAGCGAAAATGTAGAATGAATAATAAAGAATAAAGAGAATGAAGCCTGCTAAATCAACAATACAGTAAAAAATAACAAAGACAATAATATTTATAATTATATGAAAATATTCTTATTAAATATATTGAAAAGAAAACAGTTATAAATTACTGATATTCTAAAATAACCCACTCACACAATTACAAGAAATGGACGACTTCAAAGAACGAAAGCTGACAAACCCGTCTGAAAAGCCAAACTTTAATGCATGGTATGACTGTGGAATTGAAGGTGAAGCACTCAAGCTGGCACACCAGAAAATAGAAAAAGACAACAAAAACATTCCACAGAAAACCGAAAAAAGCGATTCCCGCAGATCGTGGGATATTTTCTATAAAAAACACAAGCAATCTTTCTTTCGAGACAGAAAATGGCTGACACTCGTTTTCAAGGATCTTCTTGACACAAAAAAAACAATTTTTGAAGTCGGTTGTGGTGTTGGAAATAGCTTAGCGCATCTTCCGAAAATCGATTATGCTTGTGATTTCAGCGAAAATGCAGTTAAACTCGCACAGGAAAGATTTCCCAAAACATATATTTTTGTGCACGATCTGTGTAGCGATATTCCGTTAAGTTTCAGTGCAGATTACATTGTTGCGATTTTTACGATGTCCGCGATCGAACCAAAGTTACATTTGAAGGTTTTTAAGAAGCTGTATAATTGTTTGAATCCAGGCGGTAAAATATTTTTCAAAGATTACGGATTTTTGGATATGATCCAGTTACGGTATAAAACAGAGCAGATTGTTGATGAAAATTTTTATCAAAGAAAAGATGGCACTTTCACCTATTTTTTTAAATTAGAATACATGCAGAAATTAGTTGAAGATTGTGGTTTGGAAATCGAGCAGCTTTACGAAGATAAAAAATTGCATTATAATAGGAAAAGAGATTTGGATATGTATAGAGTTATGATTCAAGGCATTTTTGTTAAAAAATAGATCTAAAATTTGATGAAAAAAAATGTGGAAGATGAATTTTAAAAATATTGGAAACAATATAAATAAATCAAATTCTTTTTGTAATGATAATAATATAAAAACATAAAGATTATGGTGTTTAAACGTTATTTTTTTTGCTACTGATTTTAGTATTATCTTTCTATGTAGTTTCTATAAAATAAAAGAAAAAGATCTTAATTTTTGACAAAATTATGGTTTCCACCCTAAAATTTATATAATATCATAGGAGTACAGTATAGCTTTAAAATTTGAATGAATAGGAATCATCTAAATGAAAAAAAACATTTAAACTAACATAATGTTGAATATTAAGAGTTTTACGGTTATAGTGTACCTTTTTTCATTATAATTGTATATATTTAGGAAAAATAATATTTATTTTTAGAAATTTTGTCATTTTATTTGTAAAAATAATTAAATATTATTCCACAATATAATCTTGTCAAATGTTGTTTAAAATTTGAAATAGAAAATTGTTATTGGTTGATGTATTCATTACCAATATAGATTAGTTTTTTTCAGAAAATCGACATAAAATGATTTAAGATATTTTACTGGAAATTAAGAGGTTTTTTAAATATACATTTTAATGATTGATGATTGACGATTGGTTTAAAAAACCAAGAAAAAATTTTATTGGGAAATTTTTTTTAAATAAATATGCATATAAAAAAATCTTCGGTTTTATCTTCGTTCTCTCACAATTCTAATCAAGTTCTATGCAAAACATAATCATATAATTTTTTTTATCTGAATTCTAATCATTTTTTTAGAAATTACAGTGTTTCCATTTTGTTTGCGATTTTTTTAAAACATCAGAAATTTTAATTGATAACTTATTTTCGATAATTAGTTTTGATTTCTTAGTTTAGATCACATTTTTTCATTTGTGAAAATTCCAAAAACACAAACTGAAAAAAAACATGTCACTATAAAAATTATTTTCATGAATAACCCATCCTAAATTTTATATACTTAGATTTAGCATGATAAAAATAAAGTAATAGAGATCATAATTAACAATACAAAACATAAAATAATTTATTAAAATATCAAAGAACAAAATTTTAAATCACTAAATATCAAAAATATTTGATGCATTAATATAGTTGTAATGGTTTTTCATTGAAATATATTTTGAAAATAAGGTTTTTAAAACCACCACAAAAAATATGTGCCTCTATTTCATAAAAATAAGATAATCATACTGTAAATTTACAAAAGAGGTTGTAGTTGTTAAGAGCTCTTCTGAATAAGCATAAAAAATACTTTTAAGTTTACTAAAAATTAAAAGAGCAGAAATTTTCTAAAAAAATAAAATCAAAAAAATATATTATAACAGTGTAATATTTAAATTTTCATTTTTTTTGTAATATAACAATTTTATTCTATAGTACACAATTTATTATGAATATAGTTTAAAGATTTTATCTAATATATTAAGGAATGAAAACAAATTAAAATTAAATTTCTTTAAAATATATTGATCCATGCCATCTTTATATTTATTCAAATTTTCAAACTTTCTTTTTTCGTTTCTCATTTCATTTTTTTTTGAACACGAATATAATTATATCGTTGCACCGAAAAAATCGATCTACAAATTACTTAAATGGTAAAAAAATGCTAGTGTTGTAAATTGTAATATTTTGAAATATTTTTAAAAATTTATATAATAAATATCCAAAATAGTCAATTAATGCTGATTATTTTTTAATTTTTACTATAATCTATATACATAAATAATGTAGATTTTTGTAAATAAATGATAAATTTTTTATTAAGTCTGTTGGATTGTAAAACACCCATATCTCTTATAACATCTGAGATACACAGATTTCTTGAAGATAAATATTGTAATCATGACAATTTAACAGGTGTTTTACTATGCTATAAGACTTAGAAGTAAACCATAGTTGTTGATTGGTCTGATAACGGACACACTGAAACAGCCATATTTCATGTTGGTTATTTATAGCTAGTAAGTAAATAAATTGTGTGTGCTAAGAAATCCACAAATAAATATGTTTCTTTATCTTCTTCTAGTACTACCGCACTTCCCAACCAATTCTATAAAAAAAATTTATTAAACTTTATCAAATTATCTTTCTAATTAGTTTGCGTAATTTTTTACGAGAATAAATGTTAATTATTGCAGATTCATTACAAAATTATAGATATTTGAAATTTATTATTTTATCACTGTTGGAAATACAAACAAAAGATTTAACACATACAAAAAAATGATAATATATAGTGTCTATGGTTTAAATGTAAATCATTAGAACGCATTAAATGCTGGATTCAATTCCATATTCATATTTGATAATTTCTTGTTTAATTGGTTCTGAAAAATATAAAGCGATAAATTAGATTATTATGGTAGCAAGCGTAATTTAAAAATGTATACTATCATAAAGATATAGGGAAAGAAGAATAAAAGCCGTCAAAAACAAACAAAAACTTGTAAACGCATAAAATCTAAAAACCATTGTTTTTAGCGAATTCAAATATGACTAATATTCAATGTATACATATAGCTAAAAAAATCAAAATTGCAGAAATTTTTCATCAAAGCTTTTGAGAAGCAGAATCTTTGCTATAGTTACTGTAAAAATGAAAAAAAAATAGGAAAGATCGCTAAATTACCAATATAAAAATCATTATATACTATTCTAACACAATTTAACGAGTTCTGTATGTTTAAATATAATTTATAAAAAAAAGGTAAATTTTGTGGGTGAATTACTGATAGTTCTTTCATGCAATTTTTTGGTTTTTTTTGGATCTCATTATGACTTAAATTCATTTTCAACCAAGCATACAATATTTTTTAACACTTAATTACTTTTTTTCTTTTTTTATGTGTATTTTTGAATTTCTTGTTAACGGTTTTAAGTCTAAAACAACAATATGATAAATGATATATATTTTTAATGATTTACGAAAAATATTTTCAATTTTATGATTCAAAAAAAATTAATGTTTTCATTTTACTTTTTAATGCATATATAATTTTTTTATTATATCTATAAGATTGTTTTTGACAATTATGTTGTTAAGTTTTATATTAATATGTTATTTTGGATTTTTTTTATTTTAATTTTTGTTCAACTGATTGATAAGCTGGCGAAAGTCATCTGTTTGAAGAGATAAGAAAAAGTTATTTTTTCTTGAAATTTGATTTCCTCGAAAAATATAAATATTATTTAAATAAACATGCTATCGCGAAGAAATCATATTTTTGATTCATCATGATCACTCTTATATATTCGATTTTAAAGAAAAACATTTTTTTATGGAACAAAAACAATTTTTGATTCGTAATAAACTCTTTTTTCGCTTATTTTCTGATTTGTTTCTAATTTTCTCAATTTTCTCAATTTTTTTATTTGAATTTAATAAAAAAAATAATTTGAACAAAAATTCTAAAAGTATTACCGAGTTACTAATTTTATTTTTTTTCAAATGGTTTGTATTTTATATTTTTTTGTCTAAATTCACTTTAGGAAAATATAATGCATCAGCTCTAAAAATATGCTGAAATATCTATGTATAGCACTTATATCGGTATTTTAAGATAGATAAATAGTTGTAGAACGTATTGATTAGGGGTCTTTTATTTAGTTTACCAAAACGAACATATATTTTTCGACATTCATATTTGAAAATTTATTAATGTCTTTTATAACAATTTTATACAAAATATTCTGTTAAATTCTTATTTGATTTGCTTTGAGACGCCAACTTTTATCTTAATATAAAAATTGAAATTCTAGCGTTTAAGACATGCAGAATCAGAATATATGAATAATA